TTGAAGCCAATTTTCACATGATGTCATGTGGCCCAAAAAGACTTTTCCCATCGACTAAAAGGGACGTTGTAAATTAGGCTAGTGGAATTTTTTTGAGTACCACAACCCTGTGAAATCACTAGTTTTACAATCAGAATATGATTCACTGGGTCCCATAACATTTGGAAAGACTAGAGGAGCTGCAGAGTGAATCAATGTATCCTCATTCAGGTTAGTGAGGCACTGTGCTGGTGGAAGCCTGTAGTGCGTCTGCTCGATCAGCCACTGAGTGCAGAAGCAGTGCCGATCATCAGGGTAATTTTATATGCAGTGCTTGAACTTTTTTGGCTCCATGTGCCACTGACCAACTTTCATAGGAGTGAACAGGCCACTGCCTCCAACGCTGTATCCAGTTCTTTTTATATTGTACATTCGTGGCTAAACCGCTAACTCATTTCTGGGCTTAGGACTCCTGCAACACTCTATTGTTTTAATGATTAGTCAGTTATAAACATCACATGAATAATTTTACATCCCTGGAAAGGCGTGCTATTTTTGCTAAAAGATTAAGACCACTCTCATGTCTGTACATTAACTATGAAGCTACAACCAGCAGCTCGTAAGCTTAGCTCATCCAAAAGACAAGAAACAAGGAAACAGCTAGCTGGGCTCTGTTGAACAGTAAGAAATCCACTGCATAGACAAACGCTAAAACACGAATCCTTCAGACACATCTTCAACCCTGCAGCACAGTTACAATCGGCTCAGTTTCAAGGCACTAAAGATTATCTGACCAATGTCTCCCCTTCTGTTCCTGAGTTATGGTGTTGCATTGTGACCAGAAAAGTGTTTTTGCAGAAAACTATGACATCACAGTGAAGCTGACCTTTGACCTTTTGGATATAAATTGCCATCACTTCATCATTTTATCCCAATACACATTTGTGTGAATTTCTTTCAAAATTAGTGCATGAATTATTGAGTTGTAGCTAAAAATATACTTTGTTAGGTCACAGTGACATTGACCTTTGACCTTGGACCACCAAATTCTAATCATTTTGTCCTTGGAGGTTTATACCAAATTTGAAGAGATTCCCTCAGGGCCAACTTGAGATATTGTGTCCTTGAAAATGAGACAGATTGAAGGTCACAGTGACCTTTGACCACCCAAATTCTAGTTAGTTAATTGTTGAGTCCAAGTGGACATTTGTGCCAAATTTGAGGAAATTCCCTGAAGGCGGTCTTGAGATATCGTGTTCAGCATAATGGGACGGACAACCTGAGAATATAATATGTCTGGCCACAGCTGTTGGCAGTGTGGAGGCTTAAAAAAAGAAATACAGTATCTGATTTTTTTTTTTATCTGGTAATGATAAAGGCTATTGTCCCACAGTGCAACTCACAATTAAAGTATGAAGGAGTTGCTTGGAAAACCCCAAAATAGAGCACTGAATGAATGCTTGGCAAAACATTGACTAATATTTATTAAGTTTTCAAAGTTGAATTTGGCATTATGTTCTAAAACTGCAGCTCGATCTGAAAGCACACTGTTGGGAGATGTTTGCCGAGAGTATCTTCTGCCCGAGAGGGATTTCTTGGTTAAGGCTGGAAAAAAGTTGTATTTTGGGTTTCTGGCAGAAAGCCCTCCAAGCAAACTTCTCCCTTGTATCATTTCCTCTCAGTACAAAACAATATAGAGCATTTAAGTCTTTATACTAAGTGCCAAACATTGACACAGACATTACTAGCCTACAGTCTGAGTGCTTTCTAGTCTCATTAATGAGCAGTAACCTGTACGATTGGGTGGGTTTGGTCCAAAAACAACAGCCTTAACGCGTAAAGGTCAAAGGTGCTGCAGTTTTATAAATAGATGCTACTTCACCACATCAAAATTCACAGGGGATTTTACTGGATCGATGACAAGAGTAAATGTCAGTACTTCAGCAAAAGCCTCCTCGCAAGAGCGTTTAAAGAACCACAAACATTTTCATGTACACACAGCATCAACTCTTATAGGAAAAAAATATGTAAGCAGCGACAGACATAAAAACTGTCAAACAAGCTATCTAAACACTTCTAAATCATTAGGAGAATTTGTAAGCCCCTACTTGAATTTGCACTGTAATTAAATGTTATTAAGCAGCCTCTCTCTGATTGTGCTGCATTGTATTCATGAGGAAATATGCTTGACTATTTAAAGATGTCTGTAAACACCATTTAGACGTGGTGTGTGGTCTGCAATTCAGCGCCATGATTTTCTCTATGTGTACAGGTACTTTATACGGGAAGATATGAGATACTGAGACATTATACCAATTAAATTTTGACAAAGTTTTAGATGTGTCAGCAACACTTTTGTCATTTTTAAATTTTCTGCGTGAGAATATTCTTCTAAGCAGTGGTCACAGCAGTTTTCCTGATTCGTCTGATCACTTTTTATTGCTTGAAGGTGTGTTTAATTCTGTCAAGGCACGTGCTGGATCAAAACTTGTCAATATTTGCCGATTGCCCTGTGATTCCTTTATGTGATCGGTTCAAACTAAGCGTTGGCAAAGTGCCGCTTCAGAGACAGAGGAGCAGAGATGGTAGGAAGTCACTTCCCGCCGGCCTGTCTGTGGTCTGTGTTTGTCAGTTGATTTGAAGCTGCTCCACCAACATGCTCTGACAGGAAAGGAATTAACTCAGCCAGGAGACAAAATTTAAAAAAAAAAAAAAAAAAAAAACAGCCCTCAAAGGAAGATGATGTTAAAAACTATTAAAGGAGTGATGCACGTTCAAAGCCACAGCAGTCAATTAAACTGTGACATATTACAAGACGTGCAACATGACACGTACTGGGAGCCTTTTGTAGCAGTTCAAGCATCATATTAAACACAGCCACACTTAATGTGAGATACTGCTTCTCTGAATGGTTCAGGCTGTTGGATAAGCAGAGCTGTTTTCTGCAAAGTAAGAGTTCCAGATTTGTGTATCGTGCCTGTGTTTTGACCCGAGCCAAACCACCTCTCAGGAGTGTCCGCAATCAAAGGATTTCCAGGTCTGATTCACAGGCTGCAGTCACTGAGCGCGTTACTGCACCAGGGCTGTGCAGCGTGTACAGGTTGGTCACATCACCGTAATGATTAAGTGTCATATTAGGCATTATGATGATGTACAAAATCTCTCAAGTTTGTTTTTATCTATGTAAAGTGTTAAATATTGGTAGTTTTGAAAGAAAAGTGCTGTAGTAATTATTCATTTCATACACCAAAAATCATTTTCTCATGTCAACCAAGATAAAACAAAAGTGTAACTTGACAAAACAATTGTAATTTAACTGAAAAAAGCTGGTTAGTGGACTTCAGTTGTAAATAAATAAAAGTAGTAATAGCTTACAGGTATTTTTCTAGATGCACATCCTGATAAAATAAAAGAATTGAGAGGCAGAATTTCCATCTGATACACAGCAAGGATATTTTTACTCATACATATCATGATCTCAGAGGTGCTTCTGTTCAAAGACCATAGATGTAGATTTCGGGGATGGGGGGAGACGACCCAGAGGATGTCCCCCTTAATATTTCGGACATGAACTTTTAGTATTTAAAGTATCAAAAGTAAAAACACAGAATGACACTGTCAGTGTTAACGTTATTGTATTACAATTATAGGTGCATTGAAGTGGTGGACTAATCATTGAACTGAATCACTGAACTGATCACTTACTGTTCACATTATATATTGTGAGTCAGAGGTTTGGACTCAAGACACATGATTTGGGGTTGAGTCAGACTCGAGTCACATATTTGATGACTTAAGATTCGGCTTGAGAAAATCACAAAAAGACTTGCAACTTGACTTGGACGTCAGCACCAATGACTCGTAACTTCCCTTGGACTTGAAAATTCTTGGTACCTTCCCCCCAGCCCAAAGATTATACAAACGTATGTTATTAAAAAAGTGTGCAACGGATCAATTCATTTCCTGAATGAACTAACAATAAAGCTACTCAATCCCAAGCAAGTCAAGTTAATTCCCCAGATGATCCATTTTGTTTTAAACCAGTCCAACACCATCTAGTCAAGTTTCAGGACAGAAGCATGAAGAACTAATGTTACGTTACTGAGCGGCAGCTCGAAAAAATGATACCAAAGATCATATTGTATGAGTACAAAAACTATGCAGTTATCAGCTAAAAACCCCCGAATAGCACTACACAAAATGTGTAGGTAAAAAATTACAGACAGAGACGCAGCAACTTCCAGCAAAGTTATTTTAACAAATAAGTAAATTTTTTAGCATTTATGATCTTAGTAAATTTAAAATAGTTTTACTCTGTTGTTAAAATTACATTACATTTGGTGAAGAGCACATTATGATTTTCTTGAGAGTCAAAATTCAAAGTTTTGGACATGGGACTTGACTTGGCACTGGTCAGTCTTGACTTGGAACTTGAAAGCAAAGACTTGGGATTAATTTGTGACTTGCAAAACAATGACTTGGTCCCACCTCTGATGAGTTGATCATGTTTTGTCTGCAAAATCTTAAACTAAAAGAAATAATTAGTAACTACAGCTTTCAAATAGATGTAGTGAGGTAAAAAGTATTTCCCTACAGAGGAGCAGAAGTACTGTATGGAAGAATAGTATTTGAGTATGTACTATTATGATTTATATTTTTATACATCTGTCTGCACTGTAGCTGGGGCAATAAATGAGTGGAATTATCAATAGCCTAATCTCATTTTGCTCTATTAAAATTAAAGAAAAAGAAAATAAATTGTGGGGGAAAAAACAGTGGACTAAAACTGGAACCTTTTTTGATAGTAACCCAGACTACACTTTCTGATATTTTGCAGCTCTGATGAACAGCCCGATTGATCCGCGTTTTTTCCCAAAGCGAGCCGTTTCCTCACCTCCAGCCGAGGAGGGCGCATCCTGAGAGGGGCAGACAACACAGCAGCAGAGGGCGGAGCCTGCATAGACTCAAGACGCACAGCCTATCATAAAGTTTGTCACTACTCACAGTGCTGCTTACCTGTGCGCCAAAACGCCGATTCTGCCTCACTTGGACCGCTCGCGATGGAGAAAATCAGATGAAATATGATGAGGATATTATTTTTCTGTGTATCGACGAAGGGAAGAAACAGTAGAGCTGAGCCGAGACTAAGTTTCTCCAACCAGGGTGCTTTTATTCCTAAAAGAAAATAACAACAGCAGCAGCTCCAAGGACAAACAGGTAACTCAGGAGATTTAATTTGCTATCACTGCCACTTACCTTAAGCCTCATAGTCCTATCTGTTTACATAATATGGAATATAAATAACCTTCATTAACATTACCGGAAATTGCTATATTAATGATTTATTAAACTGTAGGAACATCTTATAGGCTTCAAAGTCATCGACAGGGAACTGTGAGTCGATTTATGAGAAATCAAAGTTATGTCACATTGAACGCAGACAAGAAAAATCAACAGAAAGTCAATTTAGTAGAATTTAGTAGATACAACATACACACTAAAACTCAATTAATTTGAACATAATTAAAAATATATACATTTACTTCAGAGGCCATTACAGCTGCAATATAACCTAAAAATGTCGTTTATTATTTATAAATTATGTTTTATTCTTCTCCTGTTTGCTGTATTTAAGTTAACTTGTGTTCTGGGGTCCAGTATGTCGATTAAAAAGTGATTATCGAGTTATATATGTGATGTTGTGCTGAAAAAAAGATACCAAACATTGGTGTGGTATTCATGTGGTATGTAGAGGCAAAATCAAAAGTATTCAAAAACAGTCAGGACTCCAGGATTAAAGCTGTCATTGGGTTAAGATAGTTCAGTATTAGCTGTCTAGATAAAACTCGACTAAGTTTTAGAATATAAGAATATAAAGTCCAGATTTTCAGGTATATGATATAATCAAAGTGTGGGTTATAGCAGAAAGTCAACAGGCTGACCTGAAGGGCCAGTGTCAGTGTGATGTAGCCTGTGTGGTGTTTACTCAGATACAAATAATGATGCAGGTTTTCTCTCTTAAAATCCTAGTTTAGATAATGTTTCACAAGAATACAATTAGATTATGGGGAATCGCACCTGTATATTTTAAATGAAAAATGAATCAAATCTGAGCAGGAATGCTGTTGAGGAAATTTGCTGCCATTCACTGTTGCTGTTAATTTGGAATTTTGGTCTAATGTCATTGCTCCCCTATTTTCCTGTCAAGTAAACTATAATATTTTCATGTTTGCTGTTGGGACACGCCACAGGGACTCTGTCAAACAACTGGAGAATAATGACAGATTTCCAGTACTATACAATAAAAGACAATATTGAAGTAAATAGATTTTGAAATAAGATGGGTTAAAAAGTACACATGACGGGGTTAGTTAAATATAATATCCATTAAATTAATGTGTTTGCACATCAATCTGGACTGTCTGATTTGAGTTTTGATCAATGTTGTTTGTATATAAAGGATTTAAATTAAAAAACGCATGACTTAACTGACGACTGATCAAGTGCAGGTCTTTATAAGATAAACTTAATATGTAGTATTCAAATTCTTTTCTTCAGTAAAAGAAATAATACAACAAAGTAAAATACTTGTCATGCATTCAAACTTTCACCAAGTAAAGGCATAGAAGTATTAGGAACAAAATGTACATAAGTATGAAAATGAAAAGTACCAATATGCAGAACGGCCCATATCAGTGTTAAATTATTGTATCATTGAATTATTATTACATTTAATATATAAGTGGTACTTAAATGTTGTAATTGGTTGAGGTGAAGCAGTTTTAACTGTACTTCATATACAGTCGGGTAGATTCATCCTAAACAACATAATTTTTTATGAACTCACTATAAGTTCTGTCTGTAACACTTAAAACGGAAAAGGAACTAGATTGTAAAGAAAAGTAAAATGTACTTTATCATACATTATATATGCTGTATGTTAGTGAAGTCTACAAGTACCTCAAATTTTTACTTTAGTAAATGTTTTAACTAACTTTCCATCACTGCAGTATTTTTACATGTTTTAGAGTAAATCAAAATTCTACTTTTTTGCAAACCTGAACAGGTGTCACATTGTGTGCGTCTCATTTTAACTAAAATCATGTCTGTATTATGATATTTAATCTACTTATCCATTGAATCAGACATACTGAAACAACATAAATAAGCAAAACTGCAGCAAAAGCAGCTTTTGAAACCTTTAGCAGCATTTTTAGTAGTAAATAAGGAGTGTCAAACTTGTTATAACTGAGTGCATCCACTTAGAGGAGAGAAAAGGGTACAAAAACACACATAAAGTTGTTGTCATGAGAAAGGCAGTATATCTATCATAGTAAAATATGTAGCAGACGACACTGGCACTCCTAAATCACTGAGGATGTAAAGCTGTCATCCATATCTAAACTATCTCAGCACTTAATCATACAGTCAATGTGCAGAGGGACCGATTAGCAGACATGCACTTTCCATCTCCAGCTCTGTATCTCATAAACCTGACTCCTCACTCAGGTGTGCAGATGACGTTTAAATTTAAAATCAAGTCATAGCATTTTATACATTTGAATATAGAGTCAGTTTCATTGCTCCTTATTCAGATTTTTACCAGTCTGGGGTCAGACTGGTCACTGGGCGTAACACCAGTTCTTGTGTTTGTTTTTCTATGTTTAAAGTTCACATGTTCACTGAGCAAAGGTCAAAAAGTTTAGATTTTGACAGAAAAGCATTTGAAGTTCATCGTGGTTCACTCTTCTAACAACTGACCTGACCCCTGCCCCTACTGATGGGCTCCACTCCATCCATCTTGTCCTCCAAGCAGGTTACAACAAACTACTTGTAAAACGCCATTTGACCCAAAGTGGTTTGTTTGGAGTGTCCACAGACAGTCAGCGTTACTGCTTTAACCGTTATTCGACGTCTGGGAGGAGACAGGATGGGAGACATGGTGGTGGGCAGGATGAGGATTAAACTGGGCCTGTGAATTATTCTGGAAAATGGACCTTAAATTGTACTTACGCAAAAGTTTAAACTAGCAGATTAAAAAAGGGAACGCTTATGTTGGAATATCCTGATCATTAGGTCATCCAATGGAAACAAAAAAGAACATAAAGTGTACAAAACTGATTGTTAAAACTCAAGAGAACTGCGTCCATTGTCGTGTTTTCGCATTAAAAATGCAGACTTAATTTCGCTCCCTCTCTGCGCCTCTTCCCAATGGCAGACTTGTAAACTGGGGGCTTTGCTGGGTCTTGGTCGGGCAAGTTTTATGACCAGAGCTCTGTCATTGCTCTGTACCATCCTCCTCCCCCCAGGCTGCCGCCCCCCCTGAGGGCCCCCCTGTGCCAGCTGTTTCCCTCAGGAGCTCACGGCACTCCCAGCGCTTTGGTGACCGGAGGAGGATGGCGCTGTCTTCGTTTGTTTACGGTTATGTCAGTAAGAGCGGAGTTGGGGGGACCATTCCGTCGTGCGTCTGAGTCGCATTCCCAAAAAATTACAGAGCAGCAGCTCTGGCTCCAGGCCGACGTGAAATAAATCAGCTTGACCTTTAACACCAGACCTTTCATTAGGGAATTCCAAACTAATTGCTTTACGATTTCATTGCGACTCAAAAGCATCTCTGAGTGGTTTTGACTGAACCTCTGAGGAGGACGTGTAATCCTCTTGGTTTGGCTGTATTGACTCAACAAATTGAGATCTACTGAAGGGATCCTTCACTGTCAGTCAGAGTGACACCACCTGTATGCTGAACCACGTGCACGCTCCACCCGTCTCTAATGAATATCAGACAGGATGTATGTCTTCCACTGGAAGTTGACCTCTTGTTTCTGGGCGACCTTTTGCAGTTTGGTATGTCCGATATGGTTTCACAACAAGTGATCTCAAGATACCAGCCTCTCAAGCTTCAGCCTTCTTTACTGTTTCCTGCCGTAAAGATAATTGTAGATGTTCGAGGATGGGGGTGTGGTGGAAGTCAACAAGATTGTTTGGGGCTAGGACATGTTCGGAGCCAAGCACAGGTCTTGATGGCTAGCAGCTTCTTGTCATAAATTTCCACAGACTTGTCCAACTTTAACAAGCTTTGTGCCACCTCTGTAAACCAGAGCCCCTCCTCCTGCTGAATGACTGATGATGTTGAGGTGTGCACATACCTGGAGTGGGGACAGGATGCTGTTTCAGAGCGTGTGCCCATAATTATATACATAAAGTAATTGTTCTCATGTCATTGTTGGTCTCCTATTCTCAGGCTCCTGAATGCCGTCAGTCTGCAACTGTTGATGCGTTCTGCCGCCAGTGTGTAAGAGGCGGGCCGTTTTATGGGGCTCCTTTTGTAACTTGCCTGGAGGGCTGTTGTTGTAAATCATGTGTGATTCATAAAAAAACAGGTTCTCCAGTCTGCCAGGTTTCATCTCCACAAACCTCAGAGACGTACAAATAGACTTTGGCCTGCAGCCATACCTCCCTGGAACTTCTTCCTTTACCAAACTGCTCCCCTGTCAACACTCCCCTTCACTCTCGTCCCTCCCCCCACTGCTGCTTCTGCCTCTGCCTCTGCACAGGGCTGATGATGTTGTTTTCTTTGCGCTTGTCTTTGACTGTCCTCCATGGGAAGTACCTGGCAGCGGATGCATGTGGCAGGCTTCTGCCTGGACACGTCTGTCTCCCCCTCTCTTCTGTCTCCTCGGCCACGCAGCGTGAGAACTGCAGTATCCATGGCAATGAAGGAGGTGTGCTCTGGGTTTAAATGTTGTAGACAGGAGGATTTAGACCTGAATGTCTGCACTTCTGAAGTTCAGAAACGTTAGATCAGCAGAAGCCGAGTAATTTCAAAGCTTTTCAGACTTGAAAAAAAATGACCTCAAGACTTCAAAGTCATGTGGTTCACTGAAGTCACTGAAAAAATGCAACTGAGTGAGAAAGTTTGAGCTGATACCAGATTTAAGGAGATAACAGTTTGTTCTTTCTCTCTGCAGGTTTTTTCAACACATCACCATCCCACCATGTGCTAATCTTCTCAGCGTTACCCAAAAGATAGTGAACACTTTGAGCTGCCGACCTCATCAACAGTCTTGCACCTACACCAGCTTCCCTAATGGCCCACCCTTACGAGCCTTGGTTACGGACAGCACCACCAAGTGGCAGCTCAGAAGACATGAACATCCCCTCCTGGTGGGACCTCCACAGGGACGTCCAACCGGGGAGCTGGATAGACCTGCAGACGGGGCAGGGTGTCGGCTTGCCTCCAGTGAGTCCAGGGAGCTCCATGGGGTTGCAGCACTCTTTAGGGCCCTACGGATCTGACCCGCAGCTGTGCACCCTGCCTCCAGCTCAACTCGCTCCAGCCTCGCACTCATCTCACCTCTTCCCTCAGGATGGCTTCAAGATGGAGCCACTGGGCCCTGAAATGCTACAGCAAGAACCGTTCTCCTTAGAGGAACCACAGGAGAGCACTGTCTCAGCCCGGCCCAAGCCGCAGCGCCGATCCTCTTCCAGAGGTGCTGGTCAGGCTGCATGTCGCTGCCCTAACTGCGTCCATGCTGAACAGCTGGGCCAGAGCACTGATGACAGCAGGAGGAAGCACATGCACAACTGCCACATCCCTGGCTGCGGTAAGGCCTACGCCAAGACCTCCCACCTGAAGGCTCACCTACGATGGCACAGCGGGGACCGGCCGTTTGTCTGCAACTGGCTTTTCTGTGGCAAGAGGTTCACACGCTCTGATGAACTGCAGCGCCACCTTCAGACCCACACTGGTGCTAAAAAGTTTAGCTGCGCATTGTGCCCTAGAGTGTTTATGCGCAATGACCACCTGGCCAAGCACATGCGCACACATGAGTCCCCACCAGGACATGGGGAGGAGAGGGTGAATGGAGACGGGAGGATGGATAAGGGCTTTGATACACCAACACCTCCTCAGTCATCCTCCAATGTGTCTGCCTCTGACACCATAGAGCCCCCGCTGAAGCTGAAATGTGAGACAGACCCCTCGGTCTCCAGCGTGACAGGGCAGTCTGGCTAATTTCATCACTCTCAGAAGAATTTTCTGCAGTTAAAGGTTGACATATCTCTGTCATAGAGGTGTCATAGTTTTACGATAGAATAGAGAATAGAAAAAAGGTTTGGAGAAACATGTACGGATAAAAGTTGGATGGAACAGGAAGTGTTTGTCCGTGGTCCTGTGAATTTATCAACTGGGATAACTCAGTGATAATCTAAATGTTATAACACACAGACAAAAAAAACAGGAATTTTATTAATTCTGTGGATAAAACATTCCTCTGTTTACTTAAAGTGAAAGGTGGCTAAGGAGGCAACCGAGCTAAAGCTACAGCTTGTTGCTGGACTTCCATCGCTGCTAGAGCTACTACGACCAGTAGACAAAGAGCCTGGGACGAGATTAACTGAAGGTGGTTTGTTAACTTGTTTACAACGAAAAATGAATCAAATGTGTTACTGCAGGAGTTGGAGAAACGTTTGTCTCTAACACAGTTTAATATACCTGTTTCAAAGGCAGCGTGCTTTTGAACAGAGAAAGGGAGACAGTTTTGTTTTTGTCTCAGACTGTCACCATATGTGTGTAGCCTACTGTGCAAGTTGTGATAAGACACTGGAATATAAAACAGCCTTTTGTCATTTTGAAAAGGTCAGTAGCAGTTTGGATGGTTGACAGTACATGCCACAAACTGGGTGTGTGTGTTTAGTTGGTATGTAAGTAATTAAAATGTTACAGAAAGAAATGAAAGTACGACACACAATAACACTGTGCTGTGGCAGCATGCTATGATGTTGATAATGATGTTATATTATATAGTATAATATAAGAAATGGGAAAACCATGCACTACAAAGGCACCAAAAATGGTGTGTTGCTGTTGCCACTGATGGCAAAACACTTATTAATGCGTATAATTATACAGTAGGAGAATGTGAACTGTGGTTCAGGCTACTGGATGCAAAAAAACATTAAGTGTGACAATGGTGTGAAAAAGTTACGATCACATCTAACTGAACCTGAACAATGAAAAGTAGTCAGAGCCGCTGAGGACAGTGATGCCCTCCAGTCCTGGGAGGTGAGAACAAGAAGGTAAAGCTGAGCTTCATGATCACCAAAGATGGACATGGAGAGAAAATGCTGCCTGGACAAATGAATAAAGTGTCTGATGCTACATGCTGATGACAAACAATCATATCTGGTATGAACACGACCCAACAGGTCCACCCTGTCGACACTACAGCCTGCTGGTGTTGGATGAAACTTAGTGAGGTAGTTTACTCCTGTGGACTCTGCAGTCCAAAGATTTGAAGCTGCAATAATCATTTTTTTATATTAGCAATGGATCAAACTACTCACTCATAGTGATGATCTCACTGAGAATTATCGATCAACTCTGCAGCTCTGAGTATATTATATGTTTCAGCAAATTTCAACTCATAGTTTTCTGGCCCACAACTCTACTGTTTCGGTTTGGTCTCACGACTCTCATCAACATCGACATCTTTAAAGGTCCAGTGTGTCAGATTTAAGGGGATATATCGGCAGAAATGAAATATAGTACGTTTTCTTTAGTGTATAATCACCTGGAGATATGTATCGTGTTTTTGTTTTCTTAGAATGAGCCATTCAAATCTACACAGGGAGCAGGTCCTTTTCTACGTGGAGTCTGCCATGTTGCACTGCTATGTTTCTAAAGTAGAGTGGACAAACCAAACACTGGCTCTAGATAGGGCCATTCCAGTTTTCGCACCAGCCACCGTAGTTAGCAGCCCCTCAGTGACGAGCAGCGTCGGAAATACACTGATTTTTTAAAATGTGAAACTGCTTTATTCAGAGTTTTTACTGGTTTAAACCACCAGTTGTTTTGAAGAGGAAGAGACCTCTGTAGGTAATTCGACTCATGGTAAAATCTCCGTGAATGTCTAGATCTTAAGTTATCAGAGAAAAAAGTGAGCACGCATTAGCAGGTGCCTGTCTTAGATAGCCGAACTGCATCGGAGAAACACTGATTTGTAATGTGAAACCGCTTTATTCAGAGTTTTTACAAGTTTTTATCACTAGGTTTGTTTTGGAGAATAAGAATTCTCTGCAGATAATTCAGCTCCCGGTAAAAACTTCCTGAACATCAAACATCGAATGAATTCTAACCGGGAGAAGTTTCAGCTGGCTGCAGTATGCAAACATCACCACCAGATGCCACAAAATCCCCCTAAATCTTACACACCTGTCCTTTAAGCCTGATTTATGAAAGGGTGCTTGACACTTTTGATAAGCGTCACTCGACAGAAATTATAGAGCTGCACAACGTTGGCGAAAGGGTTCAGTTGCTATCCTACAGCTGACTTCTTTAGTTACATTAGATCATCCCGATCATTATATGTATCCTACTTTTGCATTCTGATAATGGAGGGATTGGATGAAATCCGTGAGTGTGAAGAGGAAGAGATTATAAACTTCCTTCCACTGAGCAGATAACGGGAGCACAAGAAAAGGAGGTGATCAGTGCAGGACATGGACAAGGAGATTCGTGACTACGAAATCACATTGCACGACAAAATATGATGTCAGCGATTCAACAAAATTGTCCAGGTGCACGCCATGAAAGGAAAGTGTCCAGCGACACTTTATTCTGTTGAAAATACCTCATTTCTGTCAAGCAACACTTATAAAAAGTGTAGAGCACCCTATCCTAAATCATACTATATGCCAGTGTTGTATGTACAGTTCTTTCTGCTGCCCTCTGCTGCCAAAAGTTGCGTACAGCTTTTCATATCATAAATGTGCAGCAGAAAATATTCTAGGTACGTCCCTTAAATCCATACCTCAGACGGTTCAGGCAGTGGTGGATGCAGAAGGTTGTCCTGCCAATACTATCCAGGTGTACCTCATTAAGTAGGTTAATACAGTTCTTCCAAATATGATCAGCTCGATAACCATTTGCGTGTTGGATCAGGCCATCGTCCCAATCATCAACAAACATGGTGTGAAGGGCTTATCTCTCAACACATTTTATTAAGAGCTGTAGGTGTGTCTGCAGTTTTTCCAAGTTCACTGACAACTCGTCTAACAAAACATTTTTTTCCACCCATTTCACTCTGAATCACGTGCAGAGAGCAACTGTGTCAGCAGTCTAGTCTAGTTCATGAAATAAAACACAGTTGAACAACACAAGCATCAGAATTTATTTAGGTTACTTGTTTGGAATAGTTTCATAATCAATAATATGTGATCAATAGTTCTGTAGCAAGCAGTATGAGCAGCTTCACAGTTTAAAACCTTTAGGATGTATGTAACCCATCACAGGCATTAGGCTGAGACTTCTATATGTTAGGGAGCTTGCATTACTGGAGGCTCACGATTGCTGTATTTATGTATAGAAGATAAGAAATGGAAGACCGTGCTTAAACAGTCAATTATTGTGTATTGACTATTATTATTATTATTTTCTGTTGATGTCAGTTTTGATAGCCTTCCTTTATGTTGGTCAGTAGAACAAGATGAACAACTTTTGTTTTAATTGGTTGCTGTAGAAAATGTTTTAGTCGACTGTAAGAAAACAAGTTCTAAAACCTTTAATAAGTTAATTATCATGGTGTAATAACTTGTATTTAATCTATTATTGTCCTTCAAATAAAAAACTATATTCTGTGTCCATGTTGAACATTTATTTACCAACCATGTTCTAACTGTCAATTATTCTGAGCTGTTTCATTTTCACTCATTAGTAGCAGTAGTGGTAGGAGAAGAAGAGGTGACTTTTAGAGCCTGTAAATGTTTGTATCATATTTTAGATACCAGACTGTGCATGATTTCAATACAAAATTGACTATGTACACAATTATTATTATAATTCTGAATATACAGTACAGGCCAAAAGTTTGGACACACCTTCTCATTCAATGCGTTTTCTTTATTTTCATGACTATTTACATTGTAGATTCTCACTGAAGGCATCAAAACTATGAATGAACACATGTGGAGTTATGTACTTAACAAAAAAAGGTGAAATAACTGAAAACATGTTTTATATTCTAGTTTCTTCAAAATAGCCACCCTTTGCTCTGATTACTGCTTTGCACACTCTTGGCATTCTCTCCATGAGCTTCAAGAGGTAGTCACCTGAAATGGTTTTCCAACAGTCTTGAAGGAGTTCCCAGAGGTGTTTAGCACTTGTTGGCCCCTTTGCCTTCACTCTGAGGTCCAGCTCACCCCAAACCATCTCGACTGGATTCAGGTCCGGTGACTGTGGAGGCCAGGTCATCTGCCGCAGCACTCCATCACTCTCCTTCTTGGTCAAATAGCCCTAACACAGCCTGGAGGTGTGTTTGGGGTCATTGTCCTGTTGAAAAATAAATGATCGTCCAACTAAACGCAAACCGGATGGGATGGCATGTCGCTGCAGGATGCTGTGGTAGCCATGCTGGTTCAGTGTGCCTTCAATTTTGAATAAATCCCCAACAGTGTCACCAGCAAAACACCCCCACACCATCACACCTCCTCCTCCATGCTTCACAGTGGGAACCAGGCATGTGGAATCCATCCGTTCACCTTTTCTGCGTCTCACAAAGACACGGCGGTTGGAACCAAAGATCTCAAATTTGGACTCATCAGACCAAAGCACAGATTTCCACTGGTCTAATGTCCATTCCTTGTGTTTCTTGGCCCAAACAAATCTCTTCTGCTTGTTGCCTCTCCTTAGCAGTGGCTTCCTAGCAGCTATTTGACCATGAAGGCCTGATTCGCGCAGTCTCCTCTTAACAGTTGTTGTCCAATAGGGCTGTCGGCTGTGTATTAACCTGACTTCTGCACAACACAACTGATGGTCCCAACCCCATTGATAAAGCAAGAAATTCCACTAATTAACCCTGATAAGGCACACCTGTGAAGTGGAAACCATTTCAGGTGACTACCTCTTGAAGCTCATGGAGAGAATGCCAAGAGTGTGCAAAGCAGTAATCAGAGCAAAGGGTGGCTATTTTGAAGAAACTAGAATATAAAACATGTTTTCAGTTATTTCACCTTTTTTTGTTAAGTACATAACTCCACATGTGTTCATTCATAGTTTTGATGCCTTCAGTGAGAATCTACAATGTAAATAGTCATGAAAATAAAGAAAACGCATTGAATGAGAAGGTGTGTCCAAACTTTTGGCCTGTACTGTATAAGACGTGTGCCTTTCAAAATTATGTCCATTTAATTGAATAAGCAGGTGCACTCCAGTTGAGGTGTACTAGCAGCTCAAAGCCTATCAAGAGAAATGGGAGGCACATGAGCTAAATTTAAAGTGTCATAGCAAAGCGTCTGAACACTGTTATATCAAGGTTTCAGTTGTTTTAGTTTTATCAACTACATCTGCAAAAAAATTCTATAATCCTGTTTCCGCTGAGGCGTTATGAGGTATTCAGTGTAGACAGATGAGGGGAAAAAATGAATTAAAACAATTTTAGCAACACACACACACACATTTTCTTCAGCACAGACTGTTCTGTAAGGGTTTTTCTTTAGAAATACTAGCTACTTTCACCTCTTCAGGCCTATAAATCCTACACCCGAAACTACAAAGGACAAACCGCTCTGTAGTCACTAATAACATATGTTCTCACAAAAGGTCCAGTGTGTAGGGGCATCTAGTGGCAGAAATTTATGACTATGTTTTCATTAGTGTATAATCACCTGAAACTGTGAATCGAAGTGTTTTTGTTACCTTACAATGAGCCACTTATATCTACGTATGAAGCGGATACGACAGTAGCCCAGAACAGACAAACCAAACACTGACTCTAAATAGGGCCATTTCGTGTTCGCAGCAATGACCGTAGTTCTCCTACACCAGAGATACTCAACTTGCTTTGCAAGGAGGCCAATTTTGCAAAATGAAAGGAGGCAAAGTGCCAGACACAGAAGACACATACAGGGCACGTGTACACAGGGGCGTTTCTAGGAACGGAGAACATTAGGGGCATAGACCAGACCTCTGTCAGGGGTCCAGTGGATTCTCTCCTGGCACTGTCTTTGATAACAAGCTCTACTTTGATGCTTTTTCATGCACTCTGGCACTGAATTGATATTTAAAGTACAAAAAAATCCCAGTTTTAATCAATTTATTGTCGTTGTGAATTAGAAAATGAAGTATCAAGCATCCTTTTGGGGGCTGGACTTGGCCCATGGGCAATAAGTTGAGTATCACCGTCCTACAATTTTGGCACACAAGTGAAGTTTAAGTCCAGCAACCTCACTGCTAGATGCCACTAGATCCTACACACTAGACCTTTAAGGCCATAGTATGGTAGGAACAGCTTCGTTAAAGGAATACTTCACCCCCAAATGACTATTTGTATATCAATTACTACACTTTGTTACATTGAACTGGGAAGAAGACTGTTTTTCTAGCATGTCTCCACAGTGAAAAAGGAATTTAAAAACTCAGAATATTCTTGATGAATTAAACTTACTGGGGTCCTTGTGTCCAGCAGAAAAAAGACTATACTGAAAAATCTCTCAAACAAATCGTGCAGTATGAATATAACTCCAGTCTCATTTATCCAGTCATATGCTCAGTTCTTTAATGT